TACGTGATAATACAGATATAGATCGAAGATCCATTATCCCAGATGTTAATCCCAGGTTAGAAGTTGAAAAATAATAAAAATCAATTGGTGGTGAGTCATTTCTTTTATCAATTGTTTGCAATAACTATAGAAATAAATTTAAAATAGTAATTAATTTAGTGATAAATGATTATATTTTTATTTTTGTAATACAGCTGATATATTATTCTTAGAAATTATCAACATGAAGAAGACCTTCTCAACAATATATTTAACAGTAATAATTCATCAACAAAAAAATTTGATAAATTTTTATTATTGATTGACTAATGCTAATATTAAATCATTAACTAATGCCAATACTTGTTAATACTAAATGCTAACATCAATCTTATCATTTAAAGATAATTTTATTGATTTGAAAAAAAAAAACAGATTTCATGAGAGATCTATTCATACCACAGTTTGTATTTCTCTTATGTAGGCTTTTGCTTTATCTAAAGCAGCCTTTTGTGATTCATTTAAATTATAGATGTCATCTATCTGAAGTCTATTACTAGATGGTTGAGAATTTGTTTCTGTGGAATTGGATGAATTTGGTGATAACTCGGGATTTGAAGAAGCTTGAGATGATGAATTTGTGACTTCTTTGGGTGGAGGTGTAGTATTCTCGTCAGATGAGGAAATGTCCATTTTTTCCATTTTTAACAATTTTTGTAAAAGTTATTTTAAACCCTCCAAAATAGGGTGACTCTTACCTACTTCTGTTACACGACTAAAAATTTATGTATAATAGATGATCGCACTATACTTGTCCTATATAGAATTTTCTAAAACCTCTGATAAAAAATTTTTTGGAATTGTTAAAATCTGTATACTGCAACATGCTTATATTTATATAATATTTGATCATCTTCTTGCAAATATAACCTTCATTTCTTTATCATGTGTAATCTTGAATCTATTTAACACATCTTTAGCCACTGTTGCTTTATGATCTGCTTCATATTCTACAAATGCAATATCTGATTTTCCAGGTACAAGACAGACTTCTTTGAAACCAGGATATCTGATAACAATAATCATAATATTATGATTAAATTATTAGCTCCATATGTGATATTGACAAATGTAATACATACTGTTGAAATAAGAAACTTAACATTTCATTAGTGACATCTGATGGTAAATTTTGTATGTATAAAATTCTATTAGGTGACTCAATTTCAGAGTGTTGTGTTTCAGGTCTTGATGATTATTATTCTTTTTCCCATTTTAGCAAATCAATTTTTAATTAATTGATTAATAAAGTTAGTTTTTTTGTTAAGGACCAAATTTAATGATTTTTACAATATAATTAATTACTATATAACTTCCAGTGAATCAAATTCACTTTCTTTGAAAGCTTCACCATTTGCCCTCTTATTGTCAAACACTCCTAATATATATTAAATAAATCATCATCATCATCATTATTAATATTAATATTAATGTGATTATGATTATGATTAAGTACCTTCTTCTTCACATTGTCTTTTTTTGTGCAGGTAATACATCTAATTGGCCTGTTACTGTTTGAGTAGAAGCAATAGTTACTGGCTTTTTCCATGTTTTATCAAGTTTTGCAATAGCATTTTGCATATTCTATATGCTATTTAATTATAAGAAATTGGAAAATTTTCATTATGAAAATTAAAAAATAAATAGAGAATGATGATAAGTTGACAGGAATTAATTAAAAAATAAAAAAATAAAGAAATTGTTAGATCAGCTTCATTTTATTGATTTCATTAATTTTAATTATAATCTCAGCTATAAGAAATAAATAATAAGTTTTTTATTGGATTATATTAATTAAAGAAAGATTAATTTAAATAGAAAAAATATATTTAAATATAACTATACAAAAGAAGAACAAAGGTTATATTTTTTATCAACTTTTTCAAAAATCATAATAAAAAAATCAATGATTTTTATTGGAAAATTTACTATTCGTTTATCATAGAAATTGAACCCATTAAGTCCTCTCATAGCTGCTGTTGTGCTTTGCATTTATCTAAATACAATAAATGCTTGCCCACCCATTTTGATTGTTTTTTAATGCAACAATATCAAGGATCCTTCCATGTGCTGAAAACAATGCATATGATGATCCTTCAACTCTAATATTAAAAAATCTTGTTAAAATAATCATGAAAATATGCCAAGCATATCAAACATAAATACAATTACCATCTTTATTGATTTTTCATTTAAATTTCAAGAATAAGTATTGATTTGGTGGAATACTCGTACTTAAATTTTTTTTTGTAAACAAAAAGGCAACTCTCTCAGAGAAGCCTTGGATAGTGAGTGGATTGGAAGGATGATGATATTTACACTGATAATGAAATTGGTTTGATGAAAAAGGAGGGAAAGAAACCCCACTACTCTAGCTAATAAAATCACTTCTTGATTAGTGGTGCATTTTCTTCCAAAGTGAAGAAGAGGATGTGAATTGAGATGTGAAGAATATTAAAAATGCTGAGAAAATTAATGATTGGATTGTGATTCTAAATGGAATTGTTACTAACAATATATTATTATTATTATTATAGATCTTAAAATTCTTTAATTGATAAATTATATCAAAACAACAACCAAATAAACAAGTACTAAAACTTTACAGAAAAGAATTATCCAACTTGAAGAGTTTTAAATGAATCAATACAAAAAGAAAATGAACACTTCTGCTGCAATGAGTATAATGAAACATAAAATTAAAAAAATAATCAATGGTATGAAGCTGAAATGCATATATTATTACTGTTTTTGCATACCTTAAATATATGGTTTTTTGTAAATCATTAATTATTTATGTATACAGATACAAGGTAAGGTGAAGATGAAGAAGAGGAAGAAGAAAAGATTGTTGTTAGAAGGAAGGTAAAGTTCTAGAATCCACTTGTATAAAAGTTACTAGAAGTTATGGAGGCAAAGTAATCATGTGCTTTCACTGGAACAAGAAAGGTTAGATAGACAAAATCAATTACCATCAATTTATGAAGTATGAGATTATAAAAAAAAAGATGTATATTATTGAAAGTATTTCTTTGGATGAATCATCTATCAATTATCAATATGATTTACAAAACCTTTAAATAAAATGGTTTATTTGTATTACAAAATCTTCTAATTTTAATTATAAAAAAAATTTATAGCTACATTTTACTTGGATCAAGTTGTTGATTGCTGCCACCTTCTCCTCCTAATACACTTTCCATTTCCCAAATTGCTTGTGTGACAGCTTCATTAAGCTGCAGTACTTTGTTTTTTATCTTTTGAGTTTGAGAAAGTAAATCATTTTTACGATTTTCTCGCAATTTTAATAAAGTTTGAGTATCATTTAATAAAAGTGTTGTTTTTAAATCATGTGTCAAACTCAATAGACTTTCACAACATCGAACCTAATTATGACAATAATAAGTAATTTCTAATGGTAATAATGAACTTGATTTAATTTGATTTTTACCATGTTTGCTGCACGTAATTCATCTACCAGTCCATCCAATGCATTTTTATATTTATCTTTTTCAACTGACTAAAATGAAAGAACTCATATAATTACAACCTACAATTTGTTATTTTCCAAACAAAGCTCCCCCCTTTTTAATCATACTGATATATATAGATACCTTTTAAAATAAGAAAAGAAAGAAAGAAAACATACTTTGTCAGTATCTCTACCAGGTACTCTAATAGATTCACGGATACCTGAACCTTTTACAATATCACGAAACGAAACAACAAATTGGTCAATTTCATTATCAAGTTTTTTATTTAATTCTTCCTCTACATTTGAAAAATAGGCATTTAATGATGCTGTAGTTGTAGTAGTGCTGCCAATTGACGAATTTGAAGTTGATGATGCAGAGGTTATTGGTGCATCTGTAGTAAAACGTGAACGTTGCATTTTTTTTTTTGAAAATCTATATTGAAAATACTTGCTTACTTTATATGGTGATCGGCGGGGAAAATCAGTAACCTTTTATAAAAAAAGTTGTAAGATAAAATTTTTTTTGTTGTCTTTAATTATCTAACAAGTTATGACAAAATTAGTAAATTTTAATATAAAATCATCCCCAGATGAGATTCAAATCTGCAGTAAATTCTAATTTTATTAAGAATAATTTTACCACCTGAAATCTTAACTTAAATATCATTATCATCAATGCCATCATAATCCATTATTGCTATATTGCTAAATAATAAAATATTTTATTTCAAATTAATTTGATAATTCATATTTTGGATTAAAGAAGATATTATCAGTAAAATTTGGCACTCTCAAGTTTGATGCTCAATTAATCATGGATAATACATATTAACTTATATACTGTATATAGGAAATTGATCATTAATCATTGAAAGGAACTTGGACTGCTTTGAATTTGATGTTTCAAATAATGATCTTGAGTATTATGAACCTCCCAGTTAATCAGTGATGACAAATGACTAAATGACTAGTCATTTGGGTCATTTGAAAGTCAATTTTAAATGATATGGTCATTTGCTGAACCAATCATATTGTTTTAATTTTAAATTCAAAATTTTAACATTTAATCAAATGAATTTACAAAATCAGGTGATTCTAAATTATCATTAAAAATACTACACAGACTCTATTTGGCAATTGGATCATCAGCAGGATGTATAGTATGATCTACAGATATAAATTCTAAAGGGTCAGAAATATCTTCATTATCAATCAATTTTGAATAAGTTCTACCCAATCTTCAGTTCTGTTAATAGAATTATCAGTTCCTTCTTCAAAGACATCTAAATCCTCTTCTCCTTCAAAAGATGCTAATGTTCAGTCATTATTTTCGATATTATCATCTCTGAGTGTCATATCATTAGTTACTTCATTTGCATCAAGCAGTTCATCTTCATTATCATCACCAACAGATTCTTGATTATGGGAATTGCAATGTGATTTCTTTTATAAAGGTTTCCATATTTTTTAATTTCCAACTATTTTTTCTTTTGAAATAATTCACTCCTCAATTGACACATTCCAAGGGCTTTTCATGCTTTTAATAAATAGATTTTAATTTTTATTAATTAATCATTTTATAATAAAACTTAAAGTTGAAAACTATTATTTTTTTTACATAAATAAAGACAATTCCCTTTTTTTGAATGTATAAAACCCATATTGGATCAGAATCTTTCAATAAAGGCAGTATTTATACAAATTTCATGCAGGTGAAGAACTAATCTTCACAATACAGGAGCTTCACTTTTTGCTAAATCTCAAAATCAACTACTTCACAATCAAGTTGACTAAATGTTCTCATATCAAAAGTATAAGCTTTTTTTTGATACAATAAATATTTCTGCTCCAAATCAAGTCTGATAAAAATAATTAATCCACTGATCAAAATAAGTACATGAAAGATTGTTTATATTATTTTTAAAAATGAAATTCTCTATTATGAATGAAGGACCAATGATAAAAGTAAAAGTGATTGTTCCATCTTTTTTCAAGATGGTTGATACCTATAATCCATATGCATAATTTTTTTAAAAAAAAAAGAATTGATCTACCTCTTTGTCATACAATAAATTGGTAAAATTTTATAAATGACCAACCCAAATGACCTTAATGACCATCAAATGACCATCAATGACCTAGTCATTTGATGGTCATTTGTCATCACTGCAGTTAATAGTAATGAAGATGAAAACGCACTAATTGATGGTTGATGAAGTGATATCAATACTGATAACAAGGAGCTGTTAAGTCACAATCTCCACAAAGTATAATTTTTACAATCTAGAATATTATGAATCTGTTGATGAATATGAACTTTTAGCTAGAGGATTTAGGAACTATGATTTCTTTGGCAATGTTAGTAAAAGAATAGAAAAGGAACATTGATGAATCCATTTGAAGACAATTACACTATAAAGAATTAAGTTCTGATGAACTAGGCTTATTGATGTTGGTGATTTGTTATCTACACAAAATAATGATCATAATGCATTGAATGGTAAAGCTAATAATTGATAATAACAACAACATCTCATGTCAAAAAGATTATTCACTAATCATATTCAGACAAATCATCTATTTATGAAGAGAAAGAAGTTAGCCAAATACCAACTCTTGGTTATTTTGTGTTTTCAGAAAAACCAATTATACAAATCTGATGATTTTTTTTCTTTATATTCCTAAAGCTGGAGATTGAGTTTTACTATTTTCCAAAATGCCAAAGTACAAAGACAATGTGTGCACAAAAATATGAGATTCAACTTTAAGGAATATCAAATTGAGTTCAAAAATCATTTCCAAAATAATGTTAACCTGTTTGGTTATTGAGGGCACTTGGAATTTATAGTGCCTTACAAGTGGAATAAATCAAAATTGAATGTGAGGGATTCATTTATTATTTCTCATACAGTCAGTAAAACTTGTCAATCAATGATTAAAAAATATAGTCTTGAACAAATTATTGACCTGTGTACAGAGTGAAATGATCATATCAAACCATTGTTACAAAGAATGATAAAGATTCACAATTTCATCCTTGGGAACTAATGCATAATCATGAAATTTAATTCATTTGAGAACTATATTTTTAATTGGGTATTTCATCTGGTACAATTAATTCAATTTGGTGAGAATCTAAAGTATTTATCATAAATATATTAATGATTATAATATTTAAATTTTAAAATTATTTCATAAATAATATGTTAATAATTACCGTTATAATTACCATCAATGGTTACTTTATTGGAATTTACAGGTTGAGGAAGATTTGTAAATCTTAATAATCTGCTGGTATAAATGGCATTTGGGTGAATTGTTGTAGTAATTGTTGAAGAATCAAAATGTATTTTGTCCATTTCATCAAATATTTTTCTAATTGATCTTAATTCATCAATCTGTTGTTTTGAATATTTATAATATTTATTATCAAGATCATTTAATAATTTATCATTAAATGAGTTAAGCCAAAATTCAATAATATTATGAATTTCTTCAGCAAGTGGGCGTTTATCTGGGTTAGCATCCATACATCTGTATGCTAATTCAATGTAAAGCTTTGGAGTATTGTTTGAGAATCCAGGCCTTGCACCTTCACATATCTTCATTGCAAGGCTTAAATCATGTGCTAAATTACTAAAAGGTTGTTGACCAGTTGATAATACAGACATCAACACCCCAAAACTATATATATCAGATGACATTGTATATAGTTTATCTCTTAAAACTTCTGGTGCCACATATGGCAGTACACCAAATACATCATTTTTACTTGACAATGTTTGGCTAGCTAGAATTGATAATCCTAAATCTGCAACACGTACCGATGTATAATTTATACCTTTATATTGAAGAATATTACCACTATGAAAATCACGATGAATGATATTTTGTTCATGAATATCCTTTAGGCCTTTGATGATTTGATAAAGATTTTCAATTTTGTCCTCCCATTTTAAAATTTTAAATTCATTTGTTAAATAATTTTGGAGATTTCCATCTTTTAAATGATCCATTACAAATATATATTCTTTCGTAGTTGGATCTTGTGTTAATCCATAAATTTTAATTATATTCAATTTATCATGAAATTTAATATAATTTCTCAACTAAAAAAAAAAATTAAAATTTAGTTTCAATAATAATAATGAATAATAGTATTGCTTTTAAAATAATAATAAAATAAATTTACCTCATTAAGAAATTCATCAGAAATATTTTGTGAGTTGTGTAATTTTTTTAATGCTACTATCTTATATTGACCAAGTTTCCCGCTGTCACTTGCAGGTTTCCAATCATTTATCCAAATAGCCTTGTATATAGTTGCAAAACCACCTTCACCTATCTTTTCAATATTTGTTAAATCATTATAAGAAATCCATTGAAGATATTTATCATTATTATTTGATGTTGTTTTAAGTTGTGTACTTTTAATCAATTCATCTATTATTTCATTACCACTAGTCCATCCTTCAGTTAATAGTTGTGGATCGCATGATTGACACCATGCCCAATTAGTATTATATCTATTACAAGTTTGACATTCACCATATACTTTGATTCTTTCATATTTATCAATAGAAATGTCATTTTGATGTGTATTTTCGTTTAATGTTTTTTCCATCCTTTTATTTTTTTTTTTATTATTATATAGATCAACGTTTCACGAATTTTAGTATACCATCCAACCTACTACATAGAAAGGTTGTGACGAATTGTACAGACGAATTGTAAAGACAAAAGTCAAGCTTTAAAGGTCGCACTGCAAACCAAAAACAGTTTCATATGCCGATTTTAATTATATTATAAGACTCCGTCGGTTCTTTTTGAATATTTAATCTTAATTCTGAAGTTAGATCTATAATCAAATATGTAAGGGTCTTTGAGTGTGAAATTCCTTTTTATTGATTAATTTAATTTTCAAATTAATAAATCATAATAAAATAAATATACTTATATGTAGTAGATTTCAACTAATTAACAACCTTTTAAAAATTCATTTTCTAAACATTTCAATCCTTCTGTAAGATTTTCATTCTCATAATAGATTGCAGTTTCATTATCCCTTTATGATTACAACAAGAATAAAAATGAAGATAATCAATTATAATTATAAATAATAAAATTAAATACGTGTAAAATCAATAATTTACTTGTTAAATGAATGTAAACAATCTTTTAATTTATTGAAAATTGGTATTCTTTATATATCAATGTTTTAGATACCTATTAATTTTCCAAACATTAACCCAGAAAATTTAGTCAAAGAAATTGAAGTTATAATAAAAATTGATGGGATAAAATTAAATGAAAACTTAAGACCATTGGGAATTGGGTTGAGTATGCAATCAATAATGATGATAGTAATAAAGATGATGACAGTGATAAGAAATTTTTTATTAATATAATAATAATCTTTTTTTTATATATTATTAGGAAAGAAGTCTTTTTATTAAAACATCTTTTCCCTAGCACATAAAGCAATTGCATATTATAATTTTAAAGATTCAACCATTAATATTTTCAAAGTAAAGATTATTCTTGGAAAGATATTTGTCCACAGCAATATATTCAAAAGTAATTTATTCTAGTTAATACAAGGAATATCCAAGATTTAGGATTAATTTATTATTAATTTTATAGAAATCAAGCAGTAAGAATGAGCTCTAGTTCTGATGTGAACTATAATTTTAATTATTACATTATGTTTATATTAAAATTAAATTAATTTTGTTATTGAATAGAAGCTGACAAAAAATATAAAATGTGTAAATGATTCTCCTAATCATATGCAATGGTTTGTGAATTTTTATCTAGTCTAACAGCTAAATGACATTATATTTTATGAATATTTTGTAAATTCCCTGCAAATATTAAATTTTTGTGAGAAAAATTGACAGACTAACATAGATTGTTAGTAAATGTAGAATTTTTTTTGGGGGATAAAGATTTGTTGTTTTCTTAATTTAGGATTCATAATTTTTGGAAGAAATTTGCTGATATGAAGTATCAGATGATATTCCATTTTATTCACAGGGGTTACACATGTGGTGGACTGAAATATGAGAATCTGACTTGGCTTAAGCTCCTTTCCATGTATTTGCAGTTATCCAAAGGTAAAGAATAATGGTAAGATCTATCAACACCTACCCATGTTATTCTTCCTCTTCTTAGGAAACACCTTCAAATTATTGGGCAAATATTATTTCTATTATGCATGATAAATATCCATCAAAACACATTATTTAATCAGGTCAATCCAATATATTTTTTTGATAAAAATTTGGAAGTTCATATTATTATATGAATTTGTTGTTCTAGTTATAATATTTTCAGAGAAAAATTCTACAAGAGATAATAATACAATAGATTTTATAATAAGTTTAGCAAAAAAAATCAAATGATTTAAAAATATTAACAAGTTTTGAAGTAATTTTTTTCATTTTTTTCATACTAAAATTTTTATATACACTTCCTGGACAACATCACAAATAATTGAATAAAATGATATGACAAAAACTAAAGTAAAAATTAATCTTCATATCAAATACTATAATAGGACCGGGAAAACTCTATTGAATGTGACCGCCAACACTATGATTCGAAAGTACTTTAAAAAAAAAAATGTAACCACCTCACTATAGATTCGATTAATGGAAAATGGAAAAGGTCACCGCCTTTATATTAATATAATTCGAAGGAAAAAATGTCCTCGGTTACACTGAATTCGCAAATATAGAGAAATGAAAAATGTCATCGGTTACACTATAATTCGCATTACAGTCGGCGCTCGATATAGTGAAGTTTTGGCTAGTACAATTTTGGAAACTATCTTCATAAAAATTGAATTTGATTGGATATTAACGCAGATAGTTTCCAAATTTGTACTAGCCAAAACTTCACTATATCGAGCGCCGACTGTATTAATAAAAAAAATTTATCTTGGTCATACCAAAAAAAAAAAAAGAAAATTCAACTAAAAATAGTAACAGAATTCCTTATGATTCACGCTAGAGCTTGGATCCGGATATCTGTAAGGTGAGAAATGGATTTCTATTACTATATTAATATCCACATTAGTATAATAATAATAATATTTGGTTGATCTAATACTAATTAATATACATATTATTAATATTAATATTAATCATTATATATTAATATATATAAATTTTTTTTTTATTATAACCCACATTGAAATATTATTATTATATTTAACATTACCACTCTGCTACTTTCATTAATTACATTTCCCATTACATTTGCATAAAAATAAATCCCCTTACATATATATTAAAGCTATTATTACTATGAATGATATCACTTATATTAATGACAAACAAACTGATGAGCAAACTGACATACAAATAATAAATGAAGATGATGAACTAACAATTCCTGAAACTTCACTTGCTATGAATAGTAATAAGAAACAAAAAATAACAAAACTAGATAAAAAAAAACCATTGACCAGTTCTGTATGGAATCACTGTAAACGAACCAATCATCCAAGTGATCCTACACTTAAAATTGCCACTTGTCAGTACAAATTTACTAGTGGTAAGAATGCTGGTGAAATTTGCAGTCATATAATAGAAACAAAAGGACCAACAGGAAATATACATGCACATCTTAATAGTCATGGTATAACAAATTCATCAAACCCATCTATTACATCCATAGTCAAACCACCAACACAAAAAACATTGGATTCAATTGTAATGCATAATCCTATCAAACAAAAAGAACTTATTCAACTATTAGTCATGTGGATAATTGAAGATCAACAACCATTATATATTTTACAAAATAGAGCTTTTAAAAGATTTATTAACAGTTTAGATCCTTGATTTGAAATTCCAAGTGATAAAATTATAAAGCAACAAATTCATATTGCATACAATCATTCAACAAATTTACTTGTTGAAAAATTTCAATTATCAATGATATCATGCTCAGTTACATTTGATTTATGGACAGCACAAAGTGGTAAGGGATATTTAGGTATTACATGTACTTTTGTTGATGAATCTTTTCATCTTCAAGAAGTTGTATTAGCATGCAAAAGACTTGAGTATCCACATACATCTGAAGTGATTAAAGAATCATTACTTTCAATTTTTGCAACTTGGGGTGTAGAACACAAAGTATTTGCCTATACTACTGACAATGGTAGTAACATGGTGAAACTTTCAAGAATTATTCCTTGTATAAAATGCATCCCGTGTACAGCTCATACCATCCAGTTGGTGATTGGAAAAGGACTATTGCATGCTGAAGTATTAATTGCACATGCAAATGACCAAAACAAGCAGAAAGATTAATTAATGCACAAAAAACTTTAAAAAATTACAATAAGGTAATTTTGATTTGTTTTTTTTTGGTTTCAATATCATTTATCTAACTTATACTTTTTTTTATTGAAAAATAGGAACTAGAAGAAAATGATCAGTACCTACAACTCATATCAGATGTAGAAACATGTTGGAATTCATCTTACCTTGCATGGAAATGTTTAATTCAAATTCAAGATCTCATTACAATGATGAAAGTTACCTTAACATATGAAAATCAAGATGCTGATACAAAAAAAGATGGACGACGATTGAAAGAAATTGATTTGAGCACTGATGAATGGGATACTATCAAAAAGCTTTTAAAGATATTAGAACCATTTGCCAAAGCAACTCAGTATTTAGGTGGTGGTAAATATGTTTCAGTGAGTTTTATCTATCCAATAATATATGATCTTAAAAAGCAATTTCAGCCATTTGCAACTGATATGGATTTAAATACAACAAATGATGCATTTGAAGATGAAACAATACCAGAAGATGATAATGAAGAGGTAATTGAAATTAATACTTCACAACGTCGTATTAAAGTCCGATATCCTCAAGATTGTTCTGGTTTAATACAAAAAATAAAAGGGTCTCCTTATGATGCATTAAATCATTATTGGAAAGTTGATGAAACAGAAATTATGATTGCCACTATACTTGATCCACAAACAAAAACCATGCAGTTTGGCGATGACAATCTCTATGAAAAAACAAAAGAAGAGTTAACATTCCAATATAACCTTTTCAAGTCAGCAAACTCAGATGATGAACAGCCAGAATCTTCCAGCTCTCATGCCAATTTAAATCAAACTCATAAACAAAATTATATTTCTGGTTTATTTAAAAAAAATGCAGATAGTGAAGGAGAACTTGAAGAATATTTCAATCATACTCAAATTGATTGGGATGCTAACCAATTTGAGTGGTGGGATATGTACAAATCAAAATTTCCAATTTTATCAAATTTAACATGAAAGTATTTATGTATTTCAGCTACCTCCACTCCTAGTGAAAGACTATTTTCAGATGCTGGAAACATGATGACTGTGAAAAGGACATCTTTAAATCAGAATTTATTTGAATGAATGGTAATTTTGAAAAAAAATGTACATTATTTGGGTGATATTTGGCCTGACAAATAAAAATTAATTTTTGAAAAATTCATGTATTATTTGTTTTATTCAAACCCTAATCCTACTTTATTATTATAAAAAATTAATTCTTTGTCCAATAGATTGGCTAAATATTGCAAGGGTAGTTTTTGGTCAATCTCAATTATTTTTCATTTATGGCCGAGTTTCAATTAATTGCAAGCTCTTGTATACAATGCTTGTCAATTAAATTATTTTACTTATTTAATTCTTTGATTTATTTTTGTTCTTAAACAAGAAAGATATATTTTTACTCGGTCAAAATTAAATTATTTTTGTCCCACTAACTAATTAACAAATAAATAGACAATAATGATGACAAAATACTAATTAAAAATACGAATATTAATATTAATATTAACAAAAAAAAAAGAAAAACAAAAACGAAAAAGGCTATGTCACATGCCATCATATGATTGGACGGTGTTTCGATAAACCCGTTTTTCTATCGCAATAATATTAATATTAATAATACAAATGAATAGGATATCTGGATTGCTATAATTTAAACGAATAGGATATCCAGATTGCTATAATTTAAAATGGATAAGTATCCAGATATCCATTTTAATATCCGGATCCAAGTTCTACTTTGAAGGAATAATTGAATACAAGATTATTAATAAACAATTTTTATGCTCTAAATAAATAGAATCTTGTGCTTTTGTTCATTCAAATTCAATTTTTTACTTGTCAATAGCTTGTTTTGTTATAGTGCAATAGCTTCCCAAAGAGACCCATACTTTTGACCTTAAAGGCTTAATTATTTATGAAAAACAATTTTATTAAGATCATTTTAGCATCATAAGATAGAGTACATTGAGAACTCTCAGAAAATATATGGTTCATTTGGTTTTCTTGGAGGTGGAAGAAATTAAAGGCAAAAAACAATTTTATAAGTTATTTATGACTATTTTATATTAGT